GCTCGATGGTGATGATAGTGGCGTAGCCCTGCCGAGTAAAGTTCGGACAGCCTTCGCACATTCTCGAGCCAGCGGCATTTCACCTCCGTGGACTTCCGGGGATCGGGGGGAGTATAAGCCTCTGCCAGGTCTTGCGCATGCGGTATGGCTCCTCAACGGTTCCGCAGGCAATCAGCCGGTCCACATGACTTACAAGGGTGTTAAACAGTGAGTCTTTGGTATGAGCAACAGTGCAGCACAAGGAAAGGTGAGTTTTCTGGTCCTAGCTCCACTCGGGATCCCTTTAGCCCTTCGTCCTCCCTCCCTCTCTTGCTCATGACGTTACATACCCAAACTAGGTCCTCATTCTGTCTCTTACTCCCTTGAAGTCATTCGTCATTAGCCCACTCAGTCACCCCTTTGCTGTGCTTTGCCGCTCGCTTGATATGCTGATTCCTGACTTGTGGATCTTTCCCTGATGAACTTTACGGCTCACGGTCTTCCCTTCCCAGTATATTTTACCCACGAGCTCGCAGAGCTGTAGACCGTTCGGTCTTTGCTGCATCTCGCAACAAAGTCCTTGCAGAGCGCTTTCTTGCTGCGCACAGAGAAAAGACTCGAGTTCCAAGCTGCCAGAATCGCTTCTGAAGAGGGTTTCAAAGCTAGGCTCATTCGCTAGTGTCACTTGCACTACCTCCGTAATTCACTCTTTGACTCATGCTGTCATGCAGCTATCAGAGCGCTTATGTTAACTCCACTGAGACAGCTTCTTACAGAATTCGAATCGCCTTGTCCGCTCGCGCCCAACCTTTGACATGACTCGAAAGCCGCCACTGGTTCACCTGCCTACTCACGCAACCATATGCTGTCAATGACTCGCGATCCGCGATGCCACCCACTCGCTTATGTCTTGCTGTGATTGATGCTGCTACTACTACTTGTTCTCGCCATGCCAGTCAGCCTTTATTTCCACCGGTTCCCGCTCAAGTAGGAGAAGCATGTAATAGCATTGCAAGGTATTGCAAGACGCGTTCAGTTTTAGAACTGCCAGAAAGCTGCAACTTGCTGCAACCATGCAGTAATTCCGTTTTGCCTCTGTGCGCGTGTAGCTGACGTTGTCAAATCTGCATGGAGTTGGATCCGGCTGCTCAGGCGTTCGTGAATGGAACGCTCATTGGCGGATGTCAGGAGATTTCGAACCTACACGGCCGAGGCACACCATATGCATCACAGGGCTCCGCTGACCACGTCAAACAGCAGGGTCGTCACTGGTTTTTGGGAAGTGTGATGAGGAAGGGCCTCGCACAAATGCCGGGGTCCTCCCGAACTGCAGGCTCAGATTATGGCAACCAGCCATAATTAGTGGCACCGTAGTGGCGTAGTAAATTGAGCCACTGCTTTGTTAGGATGGTATCGGATGTTCTCTGTTCCTGTTTGACGCGCGCGTAACGTCCAAAGCCGGCACTTCTGAGCTGACATGAACATGGTAGACGCAGTTTGTTCGGGAAGGCCGGAGAATTTGGCATATCATGAAGCTTCTCCGCCACAGGCGACTTGTTGCCCTTGTTGCAGAAGTTGGGCTGCCGCTTCGTGGCATGATACATACTTCGAGGCGTTCGAAGTGAACACTGAGCTTAACAAACAGCAGTCCCCGGGCAACCAGGCTTTCTTTACAAAGGTATACACTGTTTCAGGGATATCTGTGCGCGGGGTTTGCAAGGTTAGGCTATGGCTTTAAAGCCCAACAAGGGTACAAGGTATTGGCTTTATGGGCTTGAGGCGTGGTCAGACTAAGGGTTGAGGAGTTCCGGCAGATGTTCGGGCGATTGCACACGTCCTGATGCAAAGAATGGAGTTCCGGCTTAGGGCGTGGCAGTTTGGGAGTGCGGAAGTGTATGTTGCGGGAAGAGCTATAGTCGTGTGGGAATTTGGATGCTGGGTGTGGAATTTGGGTTTAAGGCTGCAGACTTGAACTTGGAAGTTGTTGTTCAGTTGTTGCTCCTATACTTTACGGAAAATCTTGCAGTTGCAGGGCCATGAGGAGCAGGATAGATGAAAGCGATAGCGCACCTTTCTGTCACCACATCGCAGACTTTTGGCATTTCCCATACTTCTGATGTTCTACTGACACTGTAGTGCAAGTTGTTGGTTGCTGGAGGTTCCGACTTCCTCTGTTGATGGTGACGAGTGCCTAAGCAGTTCGTGTGGTTGTGGAATTAGTTGGTGTCTAGGTTTCGTGAGCGTGCTGGCGATATACGAACCTGTTCATACCTATAAAGCCTCAAGATTCATCAAGTAAACCTCCTATGCATAGCTTTACCCCCCCCTCCCTGGATGGGTGCAGCGTGCAAACACGACATTTCAACTGGAATTGGGACATCGTCACTTTAGACCTGCAGCGCGAGAGACCAGAGACCCTACACCCACATCAGAAGTAGTGCGCACACGCGGAAGTCCAGAAGTATATCATCCTTTGACTCAGGTTTCTAAGATGCCTCAGGTAAACCTCCGATAGTTTGTACGGCACTCAAACCCTGCGTTAATCCCAAGTGCATGCCGCTGCTGGCACAGCGTGCAAACCCGAGACTTAACTTGAAACACGACATCATTGACTACATCCTTTGCCGAATGATGCCCCACAAGCTTCATGCATCTCGGCGCAAATCCTACACTGACACCCTCATCCGAAGTGCGTTTGGCTGTGGGTAAGGTGCGCGAGCCCGAGAACTTTAATTTACTGTCAGCACAACTTTGTCCAAGTAGACAGCCATAGTTTGTGGACAGCGGCTGCTACGTTTGAAGTTGGCCATGCTTCGAAGGACGGACCTTATGGGAATCATCCAGTAGTATTGCGAGCAGAGGTCGTGCATTCAGCTTTGCAAGCCTGTGAGAGGCCCGTGGCCGGGACTGGCGTGACCAGGCAGAGCTTTTAGCCACGTGGCAGCTTGTTTGTTCTTTGGCTTGGCATGCAGGAGCAGTAGTTCGTACGAACTGCTGTTAGTGGTAGCTAGTGGTATCCCACGTTGTGGAAGCGATGGGGAGCAAAAATTCGCATCCTTCCTGGTCGAGCACATGGAGGGCACGAAAACGGTGGAGAGTGTTCAGTTTGAGAGCAATCATCACGTAGATGCGGGAAGAATTTACAGGATATCGCACAGTCCGCGGATCGTCGGCGTCTTGTTGGCTTTCAAGACCGTTGCTTGAGAAGTATATTCGGCATCCCACCCACTTTCATCTCGAGAGTGCCCAATACAGAAGTTTTGCGCAGAGCTTGTTACCCCGCTGCTACAGACATGTTGTTGAAACGACAACTCGTCCTTTTCGGTAGAGTGCTGCGATCTGCACACGACCACCCCTTGCACAGCTCTGCATTTATTCGTGGAACGCTGCAGCCTGCCACAAGTATGTATGTGAGAAGGGTGGGGAGGCCGCGACGAGAATGGGTCACATTTGTTAGGGATACAGCATGTCAATTCTTTGAAAGCCACCGTGAGATAACCAGGCTTGTACAGAATCCTCTCGTCTGGAATCGTGCGGTGAGCGAGTTTACCTGTCCACGCGCCGCCCGGCATATGACTGACTGACCTGACCTGGCACAGTCCAGAATGTCTTACAGGGAGTGACGAACAACTTATAACAACTTGCAAAGTCTGGTTGGGCTAACCCGTGAAGTCATTCAAGCTTTACTGCCGAATAATTGTTCGTCGGGATGCTCAAACAGGTTGTGGATGTTCTTTGATGTTGGTATATGTTGCATGACAATCCTGACTTACCTGTATGTCAGTCAGCAGACTGGGAAGACCAAACGTGTAATCGATGGAATTGTATGTCAGAGTCCGTTTTGGTAAGAGCCCATGCTCAACGGGCGGGCTAAAGAGAGAGGGAGAGAGACGGGTCTTGCTGTAGAGAGCGCGGAGACGAGGCCGGGATGCGCGCTAAAGTACAGGTTAGGGAGGTTTGTCCGACAGGCAGACGCTACCAGCTGAACCGACCGTGGGGGAAAATTCCCTCGCACTTCAGCCCCAAAGCCCCTTCCAACCGAAACAAGCGGGAAAGGGGGCGACTCGGGTACATCCGGGCATGACCAGGACCGTGTGCGTTGCTATACCTCGCTAGCGAGAAAAGGGCCAAACGGACAGACCTGCGCGCCCCGGCGGGAGTTGGCCTTCGGGCCAGGGCAGTTTGCAAGGAAGCAAGCCCTTGAAGCTTGCCACAAGAAAGACACGCGATGAATCGGTCAGGATTTTGGGATTCGAGGCAAGGGCATTATTTAGGGTCTGGGCTGACGTGCATGGAATCGGGGTTCAGGAGGGCAAGAGAAAAAGCATGAGAGGGGAGAGAGTGGAGAGACAGAGAGCAGTCTATGTAGGGTTCCGGGATTTGTATTGGAGTTAATTAATAGGCTTGGCTGGTTTATTATTGCATCGCTGAGGCAGACGACTATGCGAAAATCCAAATGCATGGGCCCAAGCTTCGGGGAGGGTTTAGGAGGACGACAAGTATTGGAAACGGAAGCGACGGTAAGAAATGGGTAAGAGACGGTTTACAGAGTTCATGACCAGGTTGGTGTTAAAACTTTTATGATCTATACTGTACCACAGCATGAAAGGACATAAAGCGGGCATCGACAGGTGTAGATGAGGCGCACGGCAGTGTGGACCAAAGGATCTACAAATGTGGACCTTGTTTTTACAAGCCATACGGTGGAATCGTACTGTGTGGCTTTGGAGTAGGCTCTGGAGTCGACGGCCAGGATCCCAGTTCAAAGCTCTAGTCGCAAGGGAACACTTCGTGAAACAGGGGGCTCGGTAGTGGTCCGCAGTCAGCCTTTGTGTCCGCTATGTCGAGGGTTTCAAGAGCATGTCCACGAGGAGTCCTGATGCAAAGACTTGAAGAAATCAGGCCTCCGAAGATGCAGCAGTTCTGCACGTTGTACTTGAACACTACACCCACACCCTAACTGCTGTCGCCTGTCGGGACTCTGACCCACATCCGTTTCGAGTGAAGCTCCTTGGCAAACTATGCCTCGGATGCCTTCAACAATACATGCAATGTTTTTATGCACTTCTTGCCTGCATGCTACGACTTTTGCAGCAGACGACGCTGTCCAAAGCTGGGAATGTGTGACGAAGCGGCCGTGCCACATCGAGTTGCACAACACCGAGGTGACGGCAGAGGACTTGCTTGTTTTCGAAGAAAATGACCAGGTGACTGACGGATGTCCACTCTGCTCCTCGTCTCGTTCTTTGCCGCAAGTAGTACTTGTTTGCTCTGTGACTCTATACCGCTGTGCTTGTACATCCGGGCAAAGCCTTCGCTCGTCTTTGTCTTCACCTGGGTGAATCTTCCCCTCTCGGTCCCAAGGCACCAAGACCCCAACCGCTACACCAAGGCTACGGCTTGTGCCCCTGGCTTACGACCGACACCGGCATCGCCAATGTTGTTCTTTGCGAGGATGATTTTTTTTGGGTAAAGGATGCCAAACACAATCTACCATCTCAAGTTGGGTTCCATGAAGTCAGGGCCTGAATAACTGAATTGAGCCCAGAACGCGAGGATGGCGGCTACAACGAGCAATGGGCGTGCCAGCTTAACGGTCAAGGAAGTCGCATCTTGTGCCCGCCGAACACGACCATGTGCTCAAGCAGGGCTTGTGGAGGAGGAAGCTTCGAGTTAACTTTTGGGACCCTGTTCGGCTGCTTAGTCGTATGACACCTGTGCCGCTGCTAAGCCTAGAAACAAGACCGCTACACATAAGGAATGGATCATTGCTGCGATCCAGTTGTTCCAGACGACGACATGACGTGCGTGCATTCTTGGGGCCGGCGAACATGCCCCTACACTGCAGTCACGGAGGACAACTCTGCCGAGCTGAATGCAACTCACGGGCCTTGGATTCCAGGCACGTATAGTGTGTGTCGCTGCAGCCCTTCGCAAATGGCGTCCCAGCGTGTGGCGGAACTGGTTGGGAAGCTGCAAATCCGAGGGCCAGGATTCGAGCCTTAGCGCAGTAGCTGTACTGCGGGCCGATGATTCGACTCACTAGCTTGAACATGCCGGAACAGCATGAACGACTACTCCACCTAGTCACCCACCCTTTTTCCCCATGTACTCCTGAAACTAGTGAGTTTTGGGGCCTCCTGAGCAACTACACAGTATTGTGACATTGCAGTCAAAACGGGGCAGCAATTACGCCGCTAGCCTGCGTAGGGCACATGAGCCTTTCAGTCACTCCGCATGCGTCTGTATGCTAGATAACACTATCTGTGTTCTTTTGGCCCGGGGATGTATGTCGAATCAAGATTCCACGCTTGGTCTTTACACCCGGACGGAAGCGCTTGACCTCGCTTCCTCCAAACCCTGAGCCGTAAACTTGAAGCAGGATGTGAGCGCCGAAACTTGAACACACATTGCTTAAGGAGCGGATGCATCAATGCGTGTCGGGGGAGTCCAGGTGCCGCTTCTCTAGCCCTGGTGGCTTCGGACTTCTTTCCCTCAGGACATCTTTGGTCCAGGTGGCTATGCAAGGACATGCCTTGTGCCGTTTTGTATGTTTTGTCGTCGTAAGGATTTCTCAGGGGGCAGTAGTTTTAGTCAACACCGGTGTGACATGACGTGTGTTCGCGCGCTCAGAGTGGGCACCCAAGTTGAAGTAGTTGTGTTTTGAAGAAGATGATTGTTTACTGTGTCTCCGCACCGCCACTGACACGTAAGGTAAGGCTTCTAGCGACTACTTCCCAAAGCACACCCAAGTCCCGATGATGTGCTAAAGCGTTCGAACAACTTCGAGTAACCCGAAGCATTATGCGCTCCTGCGACGGGGCAGTTGTTATGGCTTGCCAGAGCATGGCTGGCATGGCCATCGTGTTGATGTGCCTTCTTCGGCCCTCGAGTGGGTCAGGGCGGTGAAGAGTTTTGGAGTTGGTTTTCCGTGACTTTCTCGCACGAGGTTCCGCGACCGGCAAAGGCTTATCTAGACGATAATCCTCAGAATGCACGATCACCAGAAGGCTTTTGGCATTTGCCGTGGCCTACGATACTCTGAGATTCGTAGCAGTGGAGGCACGAATCGTTTCGTAATGTTTCACATAGTTGACGGCAATACAGACGAAAAAGAGAATCCTTGCTGCATGCTTCGACAGCACAAGATTTAGGCAACGACGGCCGCAACCTGCTCGTCCGTGGCGAATACGTCCTCGGCCTTTGCTAACAACTTCCGGTTCAGCTGGAACAGAAATTGGAGCAATCCGTACGTTCACGGCGAGGACATGGAAGCCGTACAGCAGTGGATCAGTGAGCAGAACCCTGGAGTGCGTCTAGGTACAGGAATGTCCTCACTGTTTCTGGAATCTGTGGAAAGACTTGCTCCGAAAGCACGCTCTTTGCTACACCCGTTATTGGACACCGAGGTATCGTTTGTGTTGGTGCGAAAACAACACAGTCGGCGCCTGCGAGTCTCTCTCTGACTTCAATGCCTCCGCAGGGATGCTCACCTTGCGGGGGCCCACGAAGCACGAGATG